TTACAGACGGACAGACAGACACACACACACACACACACATACACGAACGCCCCTGAAAACATAACCTTCTTAGCGAAGGTAATAAAAACAGGCCTAGGCATCCAAACAGCTCTCACTCAAAGCAAGGAAAGCCATGTTTAGTCTCAAATCTTTACAACGTTCTTCTGTCTCTCCGAAGTGCCTGCTCAGAATATTTGACGCTTGTATCAAACCAATACTCCTGTATGGGTGTGAGATCTGGGGAAAAGAACCTGTAAACGAGACCTCACCAATCGAAAGTTCCCATAACCGTTTCTGTAAGAATGTACTTGGAGTGCATAGAAATTGTAGTAATGTAGCTGCTAGAGCAGAACTAGGAAGACTCCCGTTAGATTTAGATATATCACTGCGTACTGTTAAATTCTGGACACACTTGACACAACTTAATACCGATACACACCCTCTGCAAGTTGATGCACTCCTGTTACAACGTAATTCCCTGTCATATAGTCGTAGACGGACATTGTTACAGCGAGTGAAGGAGATCCTCGATCACTGTGGATATTCCTATCTACTGCATATTGATAGTACAACCTGTGATCCTCAACATATGTATAAAGTTTTAAGGACAAGGCTTTCAGACATGTACATTCAAACTTTCTTCCATAGTTTGTCTGTTAATACCGGTAAACTGAGATTCTATAGAAAATGTAAAACTGAATACTGTTTAGAACAATACCTAGAACATTGTGACTTCGATCAGCGCTCCGCTATTAGTAAAATTAGAATCAGTGCCCACTCCCTGGAAATCGAAAAAGGGCGATATATGAAACTACCTGTGTCGGAGAGAATTTGTAAATATTGCTCCTCAAATGCAGTGGAAGACGAAATTCATTTCATCTCCAACTGTCCATTTTATGACGACATCAGAAATCAATTATTTACCACCGTGTCCAAAATGCTGCCTTACTTCCCCACCGTTCCTTACCACAAAAAAACAATTTTACTACTAAAATCAAAGAACCCACGTATTATAGAAGAAGTGGGTAAATTCGTCTTCCATTGCCTAAAAAGAAGAAGTCAAACCCAGTAAAACTAGTGTCATGCCATGTTGTAGAATATAGTATAATGTTAGAAGTAGATATAGTCTCACAATCACATACCACTGTATTTTCTTTCTATGTTGTTTGTAACTGCAATTAGCCCTCGGGCAAGTACTTGCAATAAACTTTCAATATTCGATATCCTATTATGGTCCAAAATGGTACAATAGGAGCCATGAAGTCAATACACCAGGCTGGTTCAAAATTTAAAGTTTAAACAATGAATTTTGAACTTTTAATGATACCATTGCATTGAAAGATGGAATAACTGAAACAACTAGGAAGAAAAGGACTGTTTTCAACTGTTCAGGGAAAAATATGAGCATTTTGCAGTTGATTCTGAATTTTTACTTTTATTTGCAAATCAGAAAAAAATGAAGCGGGCGAATCCGTTAATCAAGAAATTAAATTGCTGACTGGCCTTAGAATATTCTTCTACACCACCAGTAAAAACTCTTACCTACAGAGCTGACTGGACTACTGCTTCTTGCTGCTATATGTAGACGACGTAGTTTGCGCTTTCTGTGGCAAGAACACAATCACAACATGGCTACATATAGCGTCAAGAAGCATTACTTCAGTCAGAAGCTCTGAGGAAGATGTCTGGTAGGCATTGAAACATGAGCTGGTTGTATAAGAAAATTCCAGTATGCCAATATCTATGTTCTACCAACCAGATGAAATTACTTTTGGAATTTCTTTTAACAGTGCATAATAGCAATCTTTTCCTCACTTTTTAACCTTTAGCAAACTTAATTAAGTAGCCTTTTGACTACTATTTCAAATTCTGTATTGATCATTGAGTTAGGCTGCAGGGAGAAGGTTACAGTGATCAACCTTTTATCTGCAAATTTTAACTATTTGGAGACAGGTTTATTTGCAACTCAGCTTCAAGAATACTAACTATGATATATGATACAAACTAAATATGCAGGGAAATGTTTATAAAATGGTACATGTTCATTTTCAGGCACTCGGCCTCCATGCTCATGCAGACGAGGACGGTCATGAGGGCCATGAAGGTCATGATGAAGGTCATGGTGATAAGGGCGGCCATCTTGACCCAGTGCTGAAAGGTCTGACGGTGCTGTTTGGGATCTACTTCCTGTTCATCATGGAGAAACTGATGGGCGTCATGACCAAGAGGAGGGCCAAAAGAGTGAGTCTTGTTCCTGATACATTCTATTTGGAAAGTCATCTGTATCCAGTTTTATCCTGTATCCAATTCTCCTAGCTCTTTTTGACAAACACAATGAACAGTCAAGTTCAGCTTAAAGTTCTACTCTAAGTACAGCAAACCTTTCTAGTAGCCCACATGTCAGGTGGTTGACAACAGCTAGGATTCCAACTTCTTGGTCCAGAGGCAGGGTTGCTTAAACCATTGGACTACGCAAATTTTCTCCAGCTTTTGCTGATAATTCCAGTGCAGATATTCAGTAGAGTGTTTGCCTTGGATTTGGTAGGTTGTAACTCGATCGATCCCTGACCAAGTCATACCAAAGACTTTGAAAATGGTACATACTGCTTTCTCTGCTTAACATTAATTATTTGGGAAAGAATATTATATGGACTGGCATGCACCACTACTAGTGGACTAGCCTCTTGCTGTAGTGATAGCACAACAGAGTGGCCCAAGGGCTACAGAAATGGAGATGGGTGCGACTATATGTACCATCTTATGGTTGCGTCTGCAGGTCCTTGACTTGGCACTGTTGCTGCTTTAATATTCTTATTCAGTAGATTCAGCAAACAGCTAGGTGTACACTACTGAATGTTTGTTGAAACATCTCATTTTTTTATGATAGAAAGCAAAGAAACTCCGAAAACAGAAGGAGCTGGCCCACCCTGCGGAGTCCTATGAGTTGAAGGTGGCAACAGACTCACCTATAGAGGACGACCACTGCCACCACCATCATCATCATCATCACCATGACAACGAGAAGCTGAAGGATGCTGGGATAGCCACCATGGCATGGATGGTGATCATGGGGGACGGGCTGCACAACTTCAGTGATGGCTTGGCTATAGGTGAGGAATGCTGTCTTGCATAGTGGCTTTTTTGTTGATCATCTTATTAGTAACAGGGGAAAGTCAAGAGAACTCACTCACTCACTCTCACTGTCCGGTTTATCGTCTGTTGTTCCCTGTCTTCCAAGCGTTAGACGTCGACGTGCTTGCACAGTACAACTGGGGCTTGATGGCAGCACGCCACTTGTCTCTGTCCTGTGGGTTGATCTTGTACATCCTTTAATTTTAGGGTATTGATATACAGTTGCAAGTTAGTGCTTAAAAGCTGTCTTTCACTTCGGTAATGCAGTAAGGATTGTGTGATGTGAATTCTTTTCCTCAATCTTATTAAAGGGGCCCCCAAGCCCTTTTCCGTAGAGTGTAATCGGCCGTTTTAATTCTACGTAGAGCGTAGACGGACCCTCTAATTCAACGTAGAACGTAATTGGCGCATTTGGCGTAGAGCGTAATTTGCCGTTTTAATCCTACGTAATGCGTTGTAGCTATCGGGAATTAACCGTACAGCGTAATCGATTAATTGTGCGTAGAGCGTAATCCAAGCCGCAAACGGGAACTCAAGGCCTCGCAAGTGCCGGGTTGTCGCGGCGCTCGAGGTCTTTCTTGCTCTACCCCCTTCTATACAATCGAACAATCCACTAGACTTGTTCCCAGAGCCATACACAAGAACAAGGAAACACATGGGAATGACCCCACAGTGCGCTGGGTACGAGATTGACCTTACCATCGGTGATGTACAGGAGGACCATTGGCCAAACGCCACAGATGGCCACAGTGAAGAGGGTAGAAGGCCTTAGAACCACATGACTTGTAAGGCCCAATAGGGGCCCTCAAGACGTTTCTTAGCGGGAACATCATTGCTGATCAACGGCCAGGGTAATGGAGGACACTCCCGAAAAGAGCAATGTCATCCCCGTCATTGTGCGGGTGATGGGTAACGCGGGACCGTCAGCAATTGGCAGCTGAGTCGTATTGACAAATTACGCTGTATTGTTTGCGGCCTTTTCTACCTTCGGACGACAGCCCCACAAGGCTGAAAGGTCCACTTTTTGGTCCACTTTTTATCTAAAGGTCCAAGACTTTTCTTTAAAAGACGGACTGATTCGCATCACCAGCAAGGCTGGGATCCGCCGTAGGAAAACTTTGTCATTGAAAAAGTTATCTCTGATTTTTTCTTTGAAACCCTCTAAAAACGCAGGAAATGCCATTTCAGAAGGTTCATTTTTCAAAATTTCCCGGGGGAGCATGCCCCCGGACCCCCCTAGGAACCTCGCGCCTTTGGCACTCGCCTAGCGCCTACGGGGCTCGTTGGTCCCTCACTTCAAAATCCTGGCTACGGCCATGTTACCATTTACGGATCGCCCTCCGATCTTCGGGCGATCGACTCGCGGTCAAGTTGGTACCTGCGGTAATACTGAATACCCCGTTTTGTATTCTCTACTTTCAATGTATAAGGAAGTGACCGCTGGTTACTACTTTTAATTCAAGTTATGTCACCTCTACATGTGATAAATCAAAAGGTTTTCACGCAAACATGCAGTTGCTAGCTGATTGAGTTCTGCATAGTGCGTTCGGAATCTTTCGAATTTAGCGTAGAGCGTAGAGAAGCGTCCGGAATTCAGCGTAATACGTAGCCGGCTCTCAAAATTTTGCGTAGAGCGTTGTCGGGACCCCCCTTGGAGGCCAAAAGAGCAACTTTACCATAAGAGTCACGTGAAACTGCTTGGTTTTATTATTTTGTGACATCTCATGTAGACTAAGACTTAGTGATGATCTGTATATGCACAGGGGCTGCTTTTGCCAGTGGGATCCCAGGAGGTGTGAGCACATCTATTGCAGTCTTCTGCCATGAGCTGCCACATGAACTTGGTGAGAGGCTTGATCAGTTCTGTAGATGTTAGTAATGTGTGTTAGAACTGCGTGTGTTTGTGGGAGAGGTGTATCAAGATGCTTGATACAGTGCATTTGTTACTAGCTTATAGATACAGGCAGGCTACCAGAAAGGGGTTGTTGTGCAGGGGAGGGTATAATTATGTACCTGCTAGCATTCCTTTGAAATGTGCAAATCCTCCTGCTTCCATCCACCCGAGGCAGGGTCGGTGGTGCAGTATTCTAAATACCTTACAACCGACCCTGCCCTAACGGCCACAGAAACTTACTCCAGGTGACGTAGCCTCTCACGCCCTGTCAGCTAATCAGTGACATAGCTTTCAGTTGTGCAAAGCTAAGGGCAAAGGTTGCCAGGAATCCGAGAGCCAATCATGTTACGTCTTACATTGCCTCTTTGGGTTTCATGTAAAATGACGGTTGGTAATTTTTATAATGTTGTGTTAGCCGTGCCTTCTTTTGACGTCAAACAGCTCATGAACACCAGAAAATCACGCTACAGCTAGGGACTACTTGATGGCCGAAACGTGTTTCTTAGGACAGGCGGAGGGAAAAGCCTGTGTTACGTGAGCTTTCTGCTCGGCGCTGCCTGTTCGTGAGATTGAGCAGCAGCGCCGGGCTACGGTCTACTCAACTCAAGAGCGACGAGTCCATCATCCGTGGCCGTCTGGAGACGACCTCATTATTGTAGTGAGTCTGCGCAACGCAATAATGAAAGAGCAACGTGACAAGCTGAGCTCGCTTGGCCTGAAGGCGACTTGTTTAGGTAGGAACGCAGCTGTGCCGAGACAGTCGTGCGGTGGTGCCAGTGTTTACGTCCGCCATCTTGAATTTATATGATCCTGGTGCTGATTGGCTTGTGGCAAATAAGGCAAGCTCATTAATATGTAGAGGACACGTCACCTGGAGTAAGTTTCTGTGGCCGTTAGGGCAGGGTCGGTTGTAAGGTATTTAGAATACTGCGCCACCAACCCTGCCTGCTTCTAAAACATATAGCTATTAACTAGAAGTGCAATGGGTAGACTGGTATACATGTATTTTAAACCTATTCATCCATTGAACAGACAACAGAAATGCAGATTTAAAAAATGGTACCACCATGAACATCCATATATGGTAGTTGTGGAAGTTTAAAGCACACGGGAGGAAGGAAAATCTGGCAGTTACAAGTTCTTTGTAAGGAGTTAAATTTATGCAAGTTATTACATCATTATTTGTTTGCCATTGTAGTCCTCTAATGTGCCCCCCCCCCAGGTGACTTTGCTCTGCTGATCAGGGCAGGCATGTCGGTGAAACAAGCCATCCTCTACAACCTCATGTCTGCCTGTATCTGCTACATCGGGCTGCTGATCGGACTGGGCATTGGCAAACTGTCAGGAAACGTCATCCAATATGTGTTCGCTGTCACCGCCGGGATGTTTCTGTATGTTGGTCTGGTAGACATGGTAAGATTGCTTCAGATACTTTAAATGCAGGGACTTTTGCATAGGTTTCATTTTTGCAAGTTATGACACTGTAATCTTCTGTAATTTTATGGAATTTCTATCAATGATTATGCATGATCTATACTAATTTGATGACGTCATTTGTCAAAATCCAAGATGGCGGACCATATCATTAGATGACAGGTACATTACAGCTATTTTCCTTAAAATATCATCGCTACTTTGATTTTTTAACATGAAAGGTTAATTTGAACCTGTTTAGTCTATTTCCATTGTATTTTTAGGATTTATCTTGAAAAAAAAAGACTTAGGCCACACCGACTTAATTTTATGGATGACATCCACGCGAGCATTGATTTTCGCCAGTTCTCAAAAAAAAGAGATCACGTCCACCAAGGCTTTGGCCTGGCTTTAGGCCTGGGTAGTCCATGGTAGTTAGCGACAGTATGGAGCCAGGCACCCAGGCTGCCGAAGCTCCACGATTCAAGAACTCAGTACATACATACAGTATCATAAACACTTTTTGTTAAGCTTGTGTTATACACCATTAAGTTTTATGGGAATAACCTACATGTTTCTAGACGGTTTTAGGCAATAAAATCACATGAATGAAGTCATAATGACATCATATTAAGTCATAATGATATGAAAATTATTATGATTTATTATTGTTAGTACACCATCCTGAAAATTTATTGGCCACGGTTACGATGTACCATTCATGAGTCCACCCCCAGTCCCAGGAATCCCAAAAAAGCCCAGTCTAAATAGGGTTAAAATGAAATTAAAATCATGAAGGTTGAGATCTTATATGTATTATCGTCTCCCCCTTTCCAGTTGCCGGACATGGTACATCCCAATCAGCCACAGGTCATTGCGGAGCATGACCACGGTGAGCACGGCCACGGTCACAGCCACAGACAGAACGACTTCTCTCTCGACAACAACCACGGGAAGAGGAAGAAGAAACAGGAGCCGGTTAATCCTGTCTTGGTGCAGACCTTTGGACTTCTGGTGGGCATTGGGATCATGTTACTCATCGCAGTGTATGAAGACAAAATAAAGATTTAACAATCGCCATAGAACATTGTTATTTTTGATCAGGTCTATATGATAGTTTAGAGCACTGCACAAATGTTGTACCAGTAGATATTATATATATTGTTATTCTGTCTTGTTCTGTGTAATGATATCTATCAGAATAAGACTGGTTTTAGTGTGTGTTGATGGGAATGAGGATCTGATAGACTACATAATTATGTAACTACATACATGTACATACTAAGTACATATATGAAAAGCTGTTATAAATAAGTGAGAATTTTCTGTATATCTTGGTCCATTCTGATGTTAATGAAGAGACGATGTGTATACAATGGTTTGAAATGTTGTTGGTAGAACAGGATGTAGGGACTGTTGCAGTGAATATAGATATTTTGGAATGCTTAGTGGCCAAATCTAGATAGGTATGAAATCAAATCATACCTTTTGCAAAGGAAATAGTGCATTTATTTTGAAGAGTATGACAATACTCCTATGTGCTAATAATTGCTAAGTCCTGTTGTGTGAGCTGGCTGAGGCCAGAAAGTTCATATAATGGACCAGGAAAGTTGGAGAGTGATGTGGTGTTTTTTCCCTTCAACTCAATGATTGATGCAGTACTGTTGTTTTTTTGTCAATCTGCAGCTTTTAAATCAAATTTTTATACAAATTTATGCTCAAGTTGTCCTTTTGGTGCACTTTTTATCAATTTCTGTCTCCCCCATCCTTCTGGTCCATATGTTGGCAGAATGCAATGCACCTGACGTGTGTGAAACTCAGAATGTATTGTGCATAGCACTTTAGCAGATTACCTTGTTTAAGGTTGTTTTGGTGTACAGTATTTAAGTATAGTGTCTGCAACAGGCAATGTTAACGTCCAACATAAACTAAAAAGTATGGATTTCATGCAGACACAGTATGTTCTGCTGTCCATCCTCAAATATTTAAAAAGGTCCTGTACTTAATGATGATGATATGAAGGTACATATCAGACAAACCTGCAGTTACAGGTAATAGTGACTTTAGTAGTATTAGTGTTTTATTTTCGTTTCCCCTCAAGTGTTGTCTTTGTAGAGTCCATTTTTTCCATGTTGTGTTGTCAAACATGTTTTTTTTTTCTTTGAACACGATCCTTGAAGTGCATTTTTTAAAGATTTGGTCATGATTTTGCATCATTAATATTGCTTATTGGTAAGGAAGAATAGTTTTTCCAATGTTTTAATTTGGGGTAATGTGCAGTGTCATGTCAAGAGGTCCTGAAATACATATTAAATTTATCCCTATCAGACTATTTTCTTTTAAATTCCACAATGTATGTGTGATAGTTCACAATATTCACAAATGATATTGAAAAATAGCAATTTTTAGAAAGTCACTATCGGAGTATAAGAATTATGATTTTTGCACAAGAAGTTGGTATTTATAGAATAAACAATCACATTCAGGTTGATAATTTTGTCATCTCCTTATCTAACTTGAATGAATAAGTCTGATACTGATAATGAGTACAGCCAAAATGGCACTTTTATTATGGCTTTTATAACACATGAACAGCATGTGTGTAGGATTTTCATGTAGTTTCATCAGAGATTTTGGCACCATGTAAACTTGGAAAACAGTCGTAACTAAAAGCCAGACCAATAGAAGACAAAAACTGCCATTCTTTTACCATATATACATGTAAGACTGTCATGACTTGTGCTGTTGTCAGACTAACAAACACTATAAAATATTGTATTTAAAAAAAAACACATCTATATTATGTAAAAACAGCAGACACTGAACAATATACATTTGGCACGAATTCACAGCAACATTTTTCCACAACATGACTTGTATCAGCTAGCAATGCAACAATAACAACTGCAAGATGACTCACAACACATTGATATGTATAGATACTAGTAGCATGGAATGCATATTATGTATGATAATGATTTGGTCACTTCATGACCATGACATGGTTAAAAAATTTAAAGTTGTGAAAAATGTAAGTCATGTCAAAATGAGTCAATGTAACTCATTTCTTGTAAGCAAATTGTGAGTCTTGGATGGAAAATTATGTCATGGATGTACATGTACCAGTATACAGTTTAGAAAAAAATAGTGCTTCTAAATGTACAGGGAGTGGACAAATACTTTCTAAAATCAAAAAAGACTACAAGGAACCTTTTATGAATCTGGGAACAAAATTTGAAGAACTAGAATGGTAGACATTTGCTTGGGAGCAAATACAGAAAATGGCTTCACCATATCCCCCATACCAAAAAATGGGCGTGTACTCCTCCCGCACAAATGGATTGTTCTTAAATCACCCCTGTCCAAAATGTGAAGTGTTCCAATGGAATCTTCCAACGCCTTCTGCAAATGTCAGGTCATTTGGCCCCAAAATTGAATCCATTTTACAGACATGGCAGGGAAAGAAGGAGAAACACAAGGGAAAACTAGAAAGGCTGACAATTGATCGGGAGCCTGGGGGTATTTGCCCTCTCTACATGTACCTCCATGCCAAATTTAGTCATTTAGCTGCAAAATGGCAGAGTTGAATCCATTTAAAGAAATGGCAGGAGGAGGAGGAGAAGAAGAAGAAACATGAGAGAACACAATATGTTTCACCACACAAAATGCAAAGCATTTCCTTCGTATACAGCTTGCTTCTACGTATGTCCACTCCAGTTAACCATCAAACTCAAATGGCGTTATCTTCATGAATTTTTCCACAAACTCATCATCTATGAAAGAGTAGACCACGCCTTTGATCCTGGTGGCAGAGTAGATCTCCCCCAGTTGCAGGGCATCCAGACAGTTCTTTGTGTCCAGGTTGTCCTGGATGTAATCTATGCACAAGTCCACCGCTTCAGTCATCTGCAGAAAGTCAGCTGTTTCAAACACTTTCTGGGCATTGTCTCCTGTCAGCTGAAGTCCCTCTCCATGCATGTAATCATACAACACCTTGAACATGGAAGCCAGAGGGCCATGGAGCATAACCTTGCCTTCAAGGCTCTCTCGCATTCCTGACAAAAACATGGCCTTGAAAAAGTCACTGTGTGCCGAGAGGACTTCTCTACATGACAGAAAGATGTGCTCATCTACATGGATTTCAACATCTGGTAGTTTGGTCAGCAAAGAGTTCACTGTGATCTTCCCATTAGTTCTCTTTTGGTAGCTGCGACCATCTCCGAGCATACGCCATCTTTTGTGTAGGCAGGACTTTGGTCGTAACTGGTCATAGCTCTTACGTCTCCTCAAGACAAGGGGCAGCTGGGATTGGACATCAGAGTCAGTGCTTCCACGTATCAAGCTACTGGCAGAGAGTACTTTTCTGCCCACATCTGGTTCAAAAGTATCCTCACTTTCATTGCATAACCAGGGGAGCAGCGGTGTGGGGCTGTCTTCAATGTCAGGATCTGTAGAGCCTGACTGTTCTTCACGTTCATCACTTGTGTCATTTTCACTGTTACTATTCGTGTTGCTATTTTGTCCCTGCTGTGCTACGTTCACTGTTGTAGGGTAAATGGTGGGCAGAGATGCCTGGACACGGCGGAAGGTTTCAGATGGCTGTGGAAAGGTTTTCCTGGGTGTGCTATCACGTTCCTCTGCCCCGTTCTGATCTAAGGCCTCTATAGGAATAATTTCTGGAAGACTTGATGGTGGCAGTGCCACTTCCTGTACTTTTGGCGCATGCAGAAGGGAGGGGAAGGATAAGAGAAAGTTTCCCTCTACTAGGAACGTTGTTGTCTCAGTGAATGTATCCGGCGCTGTTACTGGTCTTCCTAGCAAGGGAAGTAGTTCTCTTCTTCTCCTTAATGTGGCCATCTGTCTCCTGTACTGAACTACCTGTACCTTTAAGGATATATCTGTGTCAGTAGCTCCGTGAGGTCATTTTGGAAGACATCGGTCAGGAGTCTTTTCAGTGGACACTATCACCTGTCCAAAGAATAACAAATAAAATGGGTCACAAACAAACCTGACACCTGCTGTAGGCTATAGCAACGGAACTCAAAAGTTTGTTCTGGAAATGACCAAAACGTTATGTTTTACATGGGCACAGCTAAATTGTCGTCAAACAATGATCCTGATAAAAGAAAAACAGAACTTGACATTACATGACAAGCATACACGTATCAGTTGCATCTGTCCTGTCAGAAGTTGCCCCGCCCACCAACCTTTAATAACTTTTAAACACTGGCAGCTGACGCTTGAAACGATGTCACTATCTAAACAATTCAGCAACAGATGCTTCAGCTTCTCAACCATCATCTTTGATATCCTGCACATGTTGAATTTGTCGATGTAGATTAAGAGATTAGGCATCAGCTCATGCCGTCACCTGGTCAACAGGGTCAAAGTTGCAGACGGTCGATTCTTTGGAGTCCACTTTCCACAAAACCTCTGCTTTCGCAAGGGTCAGCCGACATACAAACACCAAAAAAAAACATACAAATGAACCTATATGTCTTTTCGAATCTCTTCCGTGGAAAGTTGCAGCACCAAGTTACCTAAAAGACGGTAAAAGTTTAACAAACCTGTGGACCTGCCGTCTTGCACAGTTCTGCCGCCATGACTGTTCTGCAGATGGTGGGCCATTTCAAATTTTATAGGGGTTTATAGGTTAATATGAACACAAACTGCTTGATTACAAACATTTCTCAATCAATGAAGCTTGAAAAATCAACTACTGACTGATATTATTATTCATCAGTTTTATTCTGTGCTCTTAAGGCCATGCTTTTGCTATTATTATTAGCATTATATATACATGAATTCAAGTTACACCCCTTTTACTTCTTGTACTCGTCTGTTAACCTCTATGACCCCGGCGCGAAGGAAAACAATAGCCTGGACGGACCGGGAGAAATAGGAGAAGATGGGGGCGTGAGGTGTTTACTTTGATAGTGGCTCCTACACCGGTGATGCAAGCCCAGGTGTTGATGATACTACAAAAACATGCTGTGAAAAGTGTAGGTTCGTAACACTACTGCTTGGATTTGGACTTGAATTTCAGTTTTTATTGATTGAGCCCTCACAGTCACGTCACCCCTCCAAAAACAACAACACTGCAGGGTGCTCAAGCATGATTCTGGTGGGATGTACTTTTTCTCTGCCAAGAGCTCGTGATGTTTTTGTATAATCGTTGACGTTGAGAAGGAAGGGTGTACAAATCTAATACTATGGCTAGAAATCCTGGAGATTTACAACATCCAGTTGAAAAGCAACCTTCTGCTAATCACCCTCATGTCAAAGTCAAGTTGAAGAGAAGCAGTGTCTCATGGGAAGTGCACAGTGATCAAGAAGAGAGGGATGATGCCACTGTCACTTGTAAGAATGATGACACGATTGTAATGCCCAAACAACAGACAGTCACAGTAGACAGTGCAAAAGGCAGAGTTCATCAATCCTACTTCGCATGCTGTTCTAGTTTTCAAAATGACTTGCTGTGTGAGAAAATAATTGACTCAGATGACACAAGGACAACAGTAGGCAGTCAGAAATGTCCTTCTGGTGCCAAGGAAGTAGATCTACAACACAGATGTAATGCGGAAATAAGTGAAAGTACATTGCCACCTGATGAAAAGTCATCCTTGGTAAAAGAGGCAAATGTAAAGATGTCCTTGACTCAAGATTGTAGGAAAGTCAGAACAAGTTGCCCTGAGACATTGACGTATGAAACACCAAGGGCTGGTTACAAATGTACTGATGGTTCAGGAAATGAGCAACCAAGGTTAGATGTGGTCAGGCCAAGTTGCTCCGAAACAGTGACTTGTGAAAAACCGAGTACAGAAGGATCAGAACAAGAGTCACCAAGGTTGTGTGCTGTCAGGCCAAATGGCACTGAAACAGTGATTCACAAAAAGCAAAGGACTAGGGACAACAAGTGTACAGAAGGTTCAGTAAATGAGCTACCAAGGCTGGAGGCAGTCAGGGAAACCTGTAGAAAGCTGCTGGCACAGGCCTTTGAAAGAGAGACACATAACATACAACTGGTGAGAGAACTGGCCAACAGCATTGAGGACCATATCCTTTGTATGGGTCAAATCAAGACATTTTGCCTATTGTCAATGTTATTACACTGTTGCAGAAGTAAGATATTGGATTTGCATTTCTTGACATTAATTTCAAGTGTATTATTAAGTACTATAATAATTGATAACATTTAATCTGAACAACATCCCAAAAACATCCTGCCCGTGGCTGAGAAAAACAGACCCAGGTAGGGGAGGCTGGTCCCCACATGTTCCCGGGTGCGCCTTATTAAATGCTTTGGTCTACTAGTACGTCCAAAACTGCCCTATGAAAGTTCATGTGTGTTGGCACAAGTTATTATGAAAGACTAATTCATTCTAGCATTGGAGACAAAGTTTAGTCTTTACTTCATGATTATTACAAGTAACGTTATGTCACACAATTTTTTCTGACACGTTTACAACTTGTTGATCAAATATTTGCCTTAAAAGAGGCAGGTTGCCAGGGTATCAAAGGGATAAAAGCAAAGTGACAAGTACATGTACTTTTAAGCTTAAAGTAAGGTTGCTGAAACCATTCTCAGACCTTAACAACAGCCTCACATATCTTCTCTGAGTTCAAGAACACAGGAACGAAGTATAAGAACAGAGTACGGAGCAGAATTGCTAACCTGAAGGACCCTCAGAACCCTGAGCTGAGAAGGAGGCTGGTACAGGGGGACATCACCCCTCAACAGATGGCTACAATGTCAGCTCAGGTAAGAATGTAAGGGTAAACCTAACTTAACAAATGTCCTACTGATATGTATAGTTTATACAATATGCCTGTAATTATATCTTTACCCACAGATCCCCCCCTCCCAGGTAACTAACAAATTATAGGTATCTCTCTCTCTCTCTCTCTCTGTCTCTCTCTCTCTCTAAATGGTACAAATTACAAATACAATATGCCTCTTATTTAATATCTTTATCCTTGGATAGCCTCTAAACCAACAAATTTGGGTAACCAACTGGTGCATAATTAGTTCAGTATTTAAAAGGCCAAATTCAATGTGATTGTTGAAATATTGAACACTGTACTTCTAGTAGTACATGTAGTAAGCCCAAATGTACAACACCTAATGATTATTTTCTTTGATCGATTGAGTGAGAATACAAATTATATCATGATGGCTACAATGTGTGTAAACATTGTAGACCTTAACTGTATTTAGTTCCAAAATTAACCCTGCTTTTCTTCATCAGGAGATGGCCTCAGAAGAAGTGAAGAAGTTTCGTAGGCAGGTATCAGAGGAGTCCATCCAAAGACGACAGGTTCCCCATGCTGATGGAACCATGACAGACATGTTCAAATGTGAGAACTGTGGGCGAGAAAACTGCTGCTACAACCAGGTACTATCTTTGTGAATGAAAGAAAAACAATGTCTAAAATTTACCATAGACTGAAAGCTTAAGACTGCAGACACATATCTAAAACTCAAATAGATAAAAAAAAATGCAGCAACAAAATTGATAAGGCCACACCAATTTAATTTGTTCTTAATTTTTTTCTGATTTGCAAAAAAAAAGAAAAAAAGATTCTGGTTCTGAATGAACTCAAATATGCTCATATTTTGCCCCCAACAGTTGAGGAAAGTCCTTTTCTTCCTAGTTGTTTTTAGCCTGGTTACCAAACCTATTATAGCTCCCGAGTCCTACATTTGCGGAGAGGATGTAGGACTCGGGAGCTATAATAGGTTTGGTAACCAGGCTAAGT